ACCACACCCTACTCCACCACCCTCCCTCCCCGCCCATACTCCACCACCCCTACGCCACCACCCCCTCCTCCACCACCCTCCTCACACCCTACTCCACCGCCCCATCTCCACGCCCCTACTCCACCGCCCCTACTCCACCCCCTACTCCACCACCCTCCTCCCACCCCCTACTCCCACCGCCCCATCTCCACCGCCCTACCCACCGCCCCCTACTCACCACCCCCTCCTCCACCACCCCTCCTCCACCACCCCTACTCCACCACCCCTCCTCACCACCCCCTCCTCCACCAACCCTACTCCACCACCCCTCCTCCACCAACCCTACTCCACCACCCCTACTCCACCGCCCATCTCCACCCACCCATCTCCACCGCCCCTACTCCACCGCCCCTACTCCACCACCCCTCCTCCACCAACCCTACTACACCACCCCTACTCCACCGCCCATCTCCACCACCCATCTCCACACCCTCCTCCACGACCCTACTAACCACCCTCCTCCACCACCCCTACCACCAATACTCCCACTCCACATCCACCACCCTCCTCCACCACCCTCCTCCACCAACCCTACTCCACCACCCTACTCCACCACCCCTCCCTCCACCACCCTCCCCACCACCCCTCCTCCACCACCCCTCCTCCACCACCCCTCCTCCACCACCCCTCCTCCACCACCCCTACTCCACCACCCCCCTCCACGCCTACCACCACCCTCCTCCACCAACCCTACTCACAACCCTACTCCACCACCCCTACTCCAACACCCTCCTCCACCACCCTACTCCACCACCCCTACTCCACCACCCTCCTCCACCGCCCCCTCCACCACCCCTCCTCCACCACCCCTACTCCACCACCCCCTACTCCACCACCCCTCCACCACCCCCCCACGACCCCTACTCCAACCACCCCCTCCACCACCCCATCTCCACCACCCCATCTCCACCACCCTACCCACCATCCCTACTCCACCATCCCTACTCCACCACCCCTCCTCCACGACCCCTACTCACCACCCTCCTCACCACCCCTACTCCACCACCCCCCCACCACCCTCCTCCACCACCCCTACTCCACCATCCCTCCTCCACCACCCTCCTCACCACCCCATCTCCACCACCCCTACTCCACCACCCCTACTCCACCACCCTCCTCCACCACCCCTCCTCCACCACCCCATCTCCACCATCCCTACTCCACCACCCCCCTCCACCACCCCTCCTCCACCCCTCCTCACCACCCCATCTCCACCACCCCTACTCCACACCCCTACTCCACCACCCCTCCTCCACCACCCCTCCTCCAACCCCATCTCCACCCCTACTCCACCAACCCTACTCCACCACCCCTCCTCCACCACCCCTCCTCCACCACCCCTCCTCACCACCCCTCCTCCACCACCCTACTCAACCCCTACTCCACCACCCCTACTCCATCACCCCCTACCCCCCCTACTCCACCACCCCTACTCCACCACCCCTACTCCACCGCCCCTACTCCACCACCCCTCCTCCACCACCCCTCCTCCACCACCCTCCTCCACCACCCCTACTCAACCCCTACTCCACCACCCCTCCTCCACCACCCTTACTCCACCACCCCTACTCAACCCCTACTCCACCACCCCTACTCCACCGCCCCTACTCCACCACCCCTCCTCCACCACCCCTCCTCCACCACCCCCTCCACCCACCACTACTCAACCCCTACTCCACCACCCCTCCTCCACCACCTCCTCCACCACCCTACTCCACCACCCCTCCTCCACCACCCCTCCTCCACCACCCCTCCTCCACCACCCCTACTCAACCCCTACTCAACCCCTACGCCACCACCCTCCACCACCCCTACTCCACCACCCCTACTCCACCGCCCCTACTCAACCCCTACTCAACCCCTACTCCACCGCCCCTACTCCACCACCCCTCCTCCAACCCATACTCCACCACCCCTACTCATACCCATACTCCACACCCTCCTCCACCACCCCTCCTCCACCACCCCTACTCCACCCTACTCCACCCCTACTCCACCACCCCTACTCCACCACCCCTACTCCACCGCCCCTACTCCACCACCCCTCCTCCACCACCCCTCCTCCACCACCCCTCCTCCACCACCCCTACTCAACCCCTCCTCCACCACCCCTCCTCCACCACCCCTACTCACACCTACTCCACACCCCTACTCACCCCTACTCCACCGCCCCTACTCCACCACCCCTCCTCCACCACCCCTACTTCCACCACCCCTAACTCCTCCACCACCCCTACTCCACCACCCCTACTCCACCGCCCCTACTCCACCAACCCTACTCCACCGCCCCTCCTCCACCAACCCTCCTCCACCAACCCTCCTCCACACCCCTCCTCACCACCCCTACTCCACCGCCCCTACTCCACCAACCCTACTCCACCACCCTACTCCACCGCCCTACTCCACCACCCCTCCTCCACCACCCCTACTCAACCCCTACTCCCCACCCCTACTCCACCACCCCATCTCCACCACCCCTACTCCACCACCCCTCCTCCACCACTCCATCGCCACCACCCCTACGCAACCCCTACTCCACCACCCCCTCCTCTACACCCCTCCTCCACCACCCCTACTCCACCACCCCCTCCTCCACCACCCCATCTCCACCACCACCTCCTCCACCACCCCTCCTCCACCACCCCTACTCCACCGCCCCTACTCCACCACCCCTACTCCACCGCCCCTACTCCACCACCCCTCCTCCACCACCCCTCCTCCACCACCCCTACTCAACCCCTACTCCACCACCCCATCTCCACCACCCCTACTACCACCACCCCTACTCCACGCCCCTACTCCACCACCCCTCCTCCACCACCCCTACTCCACCGCCCCTACTCCACCACCCCTCCTCCACCACCCCTACTCCACCACCCCTACTCAACCCCTACTCCACCACCCCTCCTCCACCGCCCCTACTCCACCACCCCTACTCCACCACCCCTCCTCCACCACCCCTACTCCACCCCTACTCCACCACCCCTACTCCACCGCCCCTACTCCACCACCCCTCCTCCACCCACCCCTCCTCCACCGCCCCTACTCCACCACCCCCTACTCCACCACCCCTACTCCACCACCCCTACTCCACCAACCCTACTCCACCGCCCCTCCTCCACCACCCCTACTCAACCCCTACTCCACCACCCCATCTCCACCACCCCTGATGGCGCTGGTGATGCGGCCCGTTGGCTTTACCCGCGATGGTGTAGAGTGCTGTCACCACCAGCATGAGCACCGTGGAGAGGTAGAGGTTCCACCCGAGACACACGTGGATGAACAGCGCCCCCGAGTAGAGGTCGGTCTGCGGGCGCGGCGAGGGTGGGCGAGGGGTTGGTTGCGACGTGGCTAGCGCACTGCTCTTATCAACCCGCATCCCGAGTTTAATCTCCGCTTATGGCTATCAACGGTGACGAAAATCTGAACGGGGCGAGGTCCTCTCCCAAGTCAACTCAGTCTGTGATTGAGTACTTGGTTTGGCGTGTAATCATCAGCCCTGGTGAGACAAATGCGGCCTGGCGTGGTCCTGGCCACCACCTCGTACCGTGCTCGCCTGAATAGATGCTCGCTAAGATGAGCACTTGCTTGCCGCAACAACCCGTTAAGGCTAAAACGGCAGTATTTGTGTGGAGACACAGGGAGTGTGTAACCCGTAAGGCTAAAACGGCAGTATTTGTGTGGAGACACAGGGAGTGTGTAACCCGTTAAGGCTAAAACGGGCAGTGTTCGTGTGGAGACACAGGGAGTGTGTAACCAGGTGAGAGCCCAAGAGAGTCTCGTGTGCAAGAGTGACCTGGCCACTAACATGACAAGAGCATGAAGTGAGGAGGGGGAGGGTGGGCGCGCAATGTGCGCGGAGTGTGTGTGGGAGAGGTGGGGGGCGCAGGGGAAACGCGGGCGCGACTCTCACGGAAATCTTGGTGAAGACGGAGAGCAGGAGGGAGAGCGCGGACAGGTACATGCGGATGCGCTCCCCGCCGAAACGCTTCTGCAGGTACTCGGGCATCGTCACGATCTGCAGCCCCACACAGCGCGACGCGCCCTTCGCTGGGACCTGGAGTCGAACCTGATTTGGAGCTCCCAGCCCCGAGCTCACTGACCCACTCTCTCATCCACTCATTCCTTCACCCAACCATTCACCGCACTGCAGGTCATCTCACTTCCCTTCTGCTGCTTCTCTCGCTCTGCTTCACGGTGGAATTCCCTCCTCCCATCGTCGTCCCTTTCCCCCAAGCTCTTAGAATAATAATAATAATACTCACTTTGCTCAATGCAAGAAACGCGTGAACCCCCGAACCTATTCCAGAAAACTCAACACATTTCTCAGGGACACTATTTGTGTGTGGTCTTCAAAATAAATGTATCTACTGGGCGACGTTTTAGGCAATGGCCTTTCCTACTCGAAAAGTCGCCTGTTATACATCATGTTTGTAACACCCCCCCCCCCCCCACAGTGGTATTGGTGAATGTGATGAGTTGTGTTATTTGTGCACCACTGCCAACGGAGTACAGTATCGCAAACTTAGTGCTGTTTGTTGCTGGCTGCTTGACGTTTGGGCCTGTGTCGACACAGCGAGGCGGCGAGTGGGGGAGTAGGGGCGAGCGGGTAAAAGGAATGGGGGTGGGTGGAGGGGAAAGGGGGTGTGGGGGGGGGAGCCCTACCTCTGCTGAGATGTACACGGGCACGAACACCCAGGCGAGCGCCAGGAGCACGTAGGTGGCCTGGGAAGGATCGGAAAGACGCGGTTCGGTGAGGGGGGTAGTGAGGGGGTAGTGGGAGGGGTAGTGAGGGGGGTAGTGAGGGGGGTAGTGAGGGGGGTAGTGAGGGGGTAGTGAGGGTGGTATGTGAGGGGGTAGTGAGGAGGGGTAGTGAGGGGGTAGTGAGGGGGGTAGTGAGGGGGTAGTGAGGGGGTAGTGAAGGGGGTATGAGGCTGAGGGGGTAGTGAAGGGGGGTAGTGAGGGGGGTAGTGAGGGGGTAGTGAGGGGGTAGTATGGGAGGGGGTAGTGAGGGGGTAGTGAGGGGGTAGTGAGGGGGGTAGTGAGGGGGTAGTGAGGGTGGTAGTGAGGGGGTAGTGGGGAGGGGTAGTGGGAGGGGGTATGAGGGGTAGTGAGGGGGGTAGTGAGGGGGGTAGTGATGGGGTAGTGAGGGGTGTAGTGAGGGGGGTAGTGAGGGGGTAGTGGAGGGGTAGTGAGGGGGGTAGTGGGGGGGTAGTGAGGGGGGTAGTGAGGGTGGTAGTGAGGGGGGTAGTGAGGGGGGTAGTGAGGGGGGTAGTGAGGGGGGTAGTGAGGGGGTAGTGAGGGGGGTTGGTGGGGGGGTAGTGAGGGGGGTAGTGAGGGGGTAGTGAGGGGGGTAGTGGGTAGGGGTAGTGAGGGGGTATGAGGGGGTAGTGAGGGGGGTAGTGAGGGTGGTAGTGAGGGGGTAGTGGAGGGGGGTTGTGAGGGGGGTAGTGAGGGGGTAGTGAGGGAGGTAATGAGGGGGGTAGTGGGAGGGGTAGTGAGGGGGTAGTGAGGGGGGGGTAAGTGAGCGGGTAGTGAGGGGGGTAGTGAGGGGGGTAGTGAGGGGGTAGTGAGGGTGTAGTGAGGGGGTAGTGAGGGGGGTTGTGAGGGGGGTAGTGAGGGGGGTAGTGAGGGGGTAGTGAGGGGGGTTGTGAGGGGGTAGTGAGGGGGGTAGTGAGGGGGTAGTGGGAGGGTAGTGAGGGGGGTAGTGAGGGGGTATGAGGGGGTAGTGAGGAGGGTAGTGAGGGGGGTAGTGAGGGGTGTAGTGAGGGGGGTAGTGAGGGGGTAGTGGGAGGGGTAGTGAGGGGGGTAGTGAGGGGCGTAGTGAGGGGGTAGTGAGGGTGGTAGTGAGGGGTAGTGAGGGGGGTTGTGAGGGGGGTAGTGAGGGGGGCAGTGAGGGGGTAGTGAGGGGGGTTGTGAGAGGGGTAGTGAGGGGGGTAGTGAGGGGGTAGTGAGGGGGGTAGTGAGGGGGTAGTGAGGGGGGTAGTGAAGGGGTTGTGAGGGGGTAGTGAGGGGGTTGTGAGGGGGGTAGTGAGGGGGGTAGTGAGGGGGTAGTGAGGGGGGTTGTGAGGGGGGTAGTGAGGGGGTAGTGAGGGGGGTTGTGAGGGGGTAGTGAGGGGTAGTGAGGGGGGTAGTGAGGGGGTTGTGAGGGGGTAGTGAGGGGGGTAGTGAGGGGGTAGTGAGGGGGGTGTGAGGGGGGTAGTGAGGGGGGTAGTGAGGGGGTAGTGAGGGGGGTAGTGGGGGTAGTGAGGGGGTAGTGAGGGGGGTAGTGAGGGGGTAGTGAGGGGGGTTGTGAGGGGGGTAGTGAGGGGGGTAGTGAGGGGGTGTGAGGGGGTAGGGAGGGGTGTGAGGGGGTAGTGAGGGGGTAGTGAGGGGGGTAGTGAGGGGGCAGTGAGGGGGTAGTGAGGGGGGTAGTGAGGGGGTAGTGAGGGGGTAGTGAGGGGGGTAGTGAGGGGGGTAGTGAGGGGGGTAGTGAGGGGTAGTGAGGGGGGTAGTGGGGGGTAGTGGGGGGGTAGTGAGGGGGTAGTGAGGGGGGTAGTGAGGGGGGTAGTGAGGGGGTAGTGAGGGGTGTAGTGAGGGGGGTAGTGAGGGGGTAGTGGGAGGGGTAGTGAGGGGGTAGTGAGGGGGGTAGTGAGGGGGTAGGGAGGGGTAGTGAGGGGGGTAGTGAGGGGGTAGTGAGGGTGGTAGTGAGGGGGTAGTGAGGGGTAGGGGAGGGGTAGTGAGGGGGTAGTGAGGGGGGTAGTGAGGGGGTAGTGAGGGGTGTAGTGAGGGGGGTAGTGAGGGGGGTAGTGAGGGGGTAGTGAGGTGGTAGTGAGGGGGTAGTGAGGGGGGTTGTGAGGGGGGTAGTGAGGGGGTAGTGAGGGGGTAGTGAGGGTGGTAGTGAGGGGGTAGTGAGGGGGGTAGTAGGGGGTAGTGAGGGGGTAGTGAGGGTGTAGTGAGGGGGTAATGAGGGGGGTGTAGGGGGGTAGTGAGGGGGTAGTGAGGGGGTAGTGGGGGGGTTGTGAGGGGGGGTAGTGAGGGGGTAGTGAGGGGGTTAGTGGGAGGGGTAGTGAGGGGGTAGTGAGGGGGGTAGTGAGGGGGGTAGTGAGGGGGTAGTGAGGGTGGTAGTGAAGGGGGTAGTGAGGGGGGTTGTGAGGGGGGGTAGTGAGGGGGTAGTGAGGGGGTAGTGAGGGGGGTTGTGAGGGGGTAGTGAGGGGGGTAGTGAGGGGGGTAGTGAGGGGGGGTTAGTGGGAGGGGGTAGTGAGGGGGTAGTGAGGGGGTGTGAGGGGGGGTTAGTGAGGGGGGTAGTGAGGGGGGTAGTGAGGGGGTAGTGAGGGGGTAGTGAGGGTGGTAGTGAGGGGGTAGTGAGGGGGTTGTGAGGGGGGGTAGTGAGGGTGGTAGTGAGGGGGTAGTGAGGGGGTTGTGAGGGGGTAGTGAGGGGGGTAGTGAGGGGGGTAGTGAGGGGGGTAGTGGGAGGGGTAGTGAGGGGGTAGTGAGGGGGTAGTGAGGGGGTAGTGAGGGGTAGTGGATGGGGGTAGTGAGGGGGGTAGTGAGGGGGGTAGTGAGGGGTAGTGAGGGGGGTAGTGAGGGGGTAGTGAGGGGGGTAATGAGGGGGTAGTGAGGGGGGTAGTGAGGGGGTAGTGAGGGGGTAGTGAGGGGTAATGAGGGGGGGTAGTGAGGGGGGTAGTGAGGGGGTAGTGAGGGGGTGTAGTGAGGGGGTAGTGAGGGGGTAGTGAGGGGGGTAGTGAGGGGGTCGTGAGGGGGTAGTGAGGGGGGTAGTGAGGGGGTAGTGAGGGGGGTAGTGAGGGGGTAGTGAGGGGGTAGTGGGAGGGGTAGTGAGGGGGTAGTGCGGGGGGTAGTGAGGGGGTAGTGAGGGGGGTAGTGAGGGGGGTAGTGAGGGGGTAGTGAGGGGGGGTAGTGAGGGGGGTAGTGAGGGGGGGTAGTGAGGGGGGTAGTGAGGGGGTAGTGAGGGGGGTAGTGAGGGGGTAGTGAGGGGGTAGTGAGGGGGGTAGTGAGGGGGTAGTGAGGGGGTAGTGAGGGTAGGGGGGTAGTGAGGGGGGTAGTGAGGGGGTGGTAGTGAGGGGTAGTGAGGGGTAGTGAGGGGGTAGTTGAGGGGGTAGTGAGGGGGTAGTGAGGGGTAGTGAGGGGGTATGTGAGGGGCTAGTGAGGGGGTAGTGAGGGGGTTAGTGAGGGGGGTAGTGAGGGGGTCTGTGAGGGGGGTAGTGAGGGGGGTAGTGAGGGGGTAGTGAGGGGGGTAGTGAGGGGGTAGTGAGGGGGGGTAGTGAGGGGGGTAGTGAGGGGAGTAGTGAGGGGGTAGTGAGGGGGTAGTGAGGGGCTAGTGAGGGGGTAGTGAGGGGGGTAGTGAGGGGGTAGTGAGGGGGTAGTGAGGGGGGTAGTGAGGGGGTAGTGAGGGGGTAGTGAGGGGGTAGTGAGGGGGTAGTGAGGGGGTAGTGAGGGGGTAGGTGTCTTCCACATGTTGCTCTACCGCCCTCTCCTGGCGAGCCGGGGTATGGATCCTCGATGCCCACAGAAAATAAATTCACAACTTTTGTGTGATGCACCAACCATCACTGACTCCACAGTGCTGCATCACAGGCGCGTGCCACCACCGTCCGGCTTCAAATGCCTCGACTCAGCCGAGCCTTTCCCTTAACGTCTTCTTAACACCGCCCAACGCCCCATACAGATCCCGCGCTGGTGTGTGCCCAGTACGGGGTGAGACTGCCGGAGCGCGGGGTGGTCCCTACGTTCCACTCGAACCCCGCCACCGCGATGCCGCTTGCTGCGCCGGTCCCCGCGAGGCCGATGAAGAGCCCCGAGCCCTCGCTGCTGGCGAACAGAGACGCTCCGATCTGCGCAGACGCGGGGGGACGTGGGGACTCAAACTCAACCTCCACTCTGCTGCTCCTCCACCCCACTGGGGCAAGCCTGCAACCAGCCCCCCTCCCCTTACCGGTCCCCACCCAGCCCCTTCCCTTGATGTTGATTTTATTATTCGCACAAGAATAGTTAGTGAAAAACAAACAGTGCAAATTTAAATAAACAAGGTCAAAAGGTGTGCAAGTGAGGTTGGAAACTCAAGAGGGGCATATGAAACCCACTCCAAAAAAATAACAATGTTTTTACAAAACAGATTGTTCGATCGATTAAACAAATCATACTAATTACAATTAAACATGTTAAACTCAGTGTTCAAAAAACGACGTGTTTGCGTGCGCATGTGTGCTTATGCGTGTGTGTGTGGGAGTTAGGCTACATGGAGGAGACTACTGGGTAGTTTGGCTCATCAGGCTGACCCGGAGTCTATGCTTGAAGTTATTGAGGGATGATGATATTTTGGCAATGTGAAGATAGGAATTCCAGAGTAGGGAACCTCTGTATCTGATGCAGAATTGACTTTGTGTGGTGCGGCAATGGGGAGGGTGAAGGTTGTATCGGAGTGTCTTGTGTTGTATGCATGGAATTTGGAATTAACCTGGAAGAATACTTTGCAGGGTTTCGGTACGATGTCTTGGAGTTAAGTGCATTTAGAGATGAACGTGCATATTTTGAGTATGATATTGAGCTTCTTGAACATTGGGGCAAATGGTGCCAAGTAGTTAGAGGAGGTGGCCAGTTCTTTTGGATGGTGTAATTCATGTAGGTAGGAAGAATATGTATTAGCCCAGACAATATTGCGGTAGATGAGATATGGGTAAATTAAGCTGTAGTATAGAGTATGTAGCATAGTTAGGAAGCAAGCCTGATGAACCAAACCAGCCCCTCCCCTGACCGCCCCCACCCAGCCCTTCACCTTACCGGCCACCACGCCATGTCCCTCCCGGCGAGGAAGTAGCCCTGCAAGGTGTTGCGGCTCACGCGGCACGATGACTACAAGGAGCCCGGGGGGAGGGGGGGGGGGAGGGAATGGTACATAGTCGGTCTCGCCCTGAAGATGGCCCAGATCCGAAAGCGCCGATCGACACCGCTGAGCCCGGGGTTCGACCCCAGGCAACGCGGCTCGTAATATATGACACGGGAACTGTGCAAGTTGATGCTCTCAGCCCTGGCCACCGATGATTACCCTTCATTTGGATAAATTCCCACTAAATTGTGAGAATTAAAAACATATCAGAAATACGAAAAATGAAAATAGCACATGATTCACGACGGCGCTAATGATTATCTTGAGTTAAATATTCAGAGCATCGGGTTGATCATCGTATAGAGGATGACGTGTGGGAGAGTGCCCTCCCTTGCTGTGAAAGGACAACAAAGCCACTTGAATGGCTGCGAGAGAGGTTCTGTGAAACCCTCTTCCACGGGTCACTCTGTGACACAGATTAGGTGGTGCTCTGTAAGATTTCCTAATGGATTCCTGGCATCAGGACGTCATGTCTATAGTACCTCTGGAACATGTAGGAGTTATTTTTGCTCCGGCGAGTTTGCACTACCACCCTACGATTTTCTGTAAGTCTATAGATATATCTGTAACTCTATGCACCTCCATGTAACTCTATGTAACTACAATGCTCTGTAACTGCCAGCACTGCCCAGGGTAATGAATTGTGATCGTCCTTGTGACAGAGTTGCTCAGCTCAATGCACCTCACCATCTGAGATAAAGTCTGTGTCTGTCAAGTTGGCAGGGCCAATGAGCCAATGAAAATCCGAGACAGCACAAGCCGCTGCTCACGGCCACGAATTGGTGACTCATTGTCCAAGGCGCGCGCCCCCTGTTAACGCGTAACGGAGCAGACTGAATGCATGCGCCCCAGCTCGTCAGCAGTGAAACCCGCTGAGTGCGTGTGTGGGAGACTGCGTGGGAATAGCGTCAGGTGTTATAGGCTCGGGCCACGAGATGAGCATCGGATGGCAATACAGCAAGCCAGCTGTGTGGAGTGTGACGTGTTACCTCCTCGCATGCGTGGGTTTTCTCCTGCACACGGGGCTCGAATTAAACATTCATTGGCCCAATAAGCCGAACGCAGCAGCGCGTTTTTGTAACAGTTAAGGGTCTTGTGTCATCTTCCCTGGATACAGAGAATCATTACCTTAATGACAAGCAGTCGCGCACCCTCACCCACCCTCATCCACCATCACTGGACCTGTCGCGACCGCCCCAATCACTCACCCACCCTCAATCATCCTCACCGACGCCCACCCTCACCCACCCTCACCGACCCTCACCGACCCTCACTCACCCTCACTCTCCATCATCTTCCCCCCTCCCTCACCTCCTCCTTCCGCGCTCACCCCACGGCCCCACGCTCACCCCACGCACCCACGCTCACCCCACGCTCACCCCACGCCCCCACACTCACCCACACGCCCACGAGGACGTTGAGCGCGAAGTAGGCGGCGATCACCACGATGTCGGCGGTGCTGAATGAGGCGCCCATCCCGTACCCGGGCTCCGTCTCGTTCCCCGGGCGGTGGCTGCTGCTGTTCCCCTCCTCCATCTCGGCCCTTGCTGCTGCTGCTGCTGTCGCCTCCAGCACGCAAGTGGGACGAGGTGAGGCCCCTCGCGGCGGGGCCGGTGAGGGGGGACAGGATGGGAGGGGGGACACCGGGACACGCATCGCCGCGCAATTGACAACACCCCCCTCGCCCCAGCGCCGGCTTGCCGAGCTCCGTCCCCCGTGTTTGTTCCCCTCGTTAACCCCTCGCGAGGATCACGGAGGGGCGGAGGGAGGTAATGGTCTGGAAAAGTCGGAGTGGTGGATAGTGGTGCCATGTGTCGCCCGGCCGTGCCCGTGTGTTCTCTCATCGTACAGGACACATCCACCTGTCACGACCTCCCACCACCAACAGGCAGACTCACACACACACAGCTGCTACACTCACCCAAACAGGCAAAGACAAAGATCTAACATTTTTACCTAAACACACTGTTGGGGCAAGTGCCGTTAGCGAGCACATATGAAGGCCGGCACGCCACAAGAGGGTGGCCAGCACCACGCCTGGCCACCTTTGTCTCCCCAGTTCTGATGTTTACTCATTGCACCTGGCACTCATTTGAAGCTGAGTCGACCTAGGGGAGGCCCAGGACTGGTTCAGATATGTGTTTGCTGTGTACGTGTCGTTTGCCTCTCTGGGTGCCCTTACAAACGAGACGCAATGGATTCTCCAGGTGAACAGTTGAATAAATGATAAACACAAATACGTGCTGAGGCTGCAAGAGAAACGGAGCTCACCGGTAATCGGCTCGGGAAGAGGGCCGAGTGCCTCATGAGTTCGCACGAAGCAGGTGACCCGGATTCACACAGTGACTGTGCACAGGAGTCGGCTTCCTCCCGTGGCTGTCTCCACATAAAACATCCTTTTTTAAATCCTTTATATTAAGTTCGCTTGCTTGCTTGCGTGCTTGTGTGCTTGCTTGCTTGCTTACGACCGTGCAAATCTTTCGGTCGTTTTTTAACCCACTTCCCGTGATCCAATCGAGCTGACATTTTCCACACAGACTCGTTGTGCGTGACAATTAATTTTCGTGAAATTTTTGTTCCAAAATTTGACACTGTTTAGGGAATTTTTTTAAAATATTTAATTACCAATTGCTTAATGCTGGCAGACAATCATCTGATCCACAGGTGGCAGCCATCTCAAGCCAGAGGACGAGAGGACTCTAGCCGCCACGCATATGAAGGATTTATAGTGAAAAACTTTGTTTTTACGGGTTAATTTTTACACATTCCATCAGCCACCCGGTTTTCCGGGAGTGGATACTTCCAGCAGCAAGCACAACTCTGTAGCGGTGTTACAGCAAGGAGCCTCCTCTGTTATAGATGGGTCTTGGTTCGATGCAAAACTCTGGAATCCACAACGCAGAATATTCACTCGCGTCACTGTAGAGAATATAAATAACAAACTAACGACGCAGCCAATTTGCCTCCTTCACATTTCCGTATCTCCACTTAAAAACCGTTGGTTCAAGCAAGCCTCACTGCTGATGAGATACTGACTATCGAAACCGGTAAATATATTTGCTCGTGTTGAACCACTGCTGTTGAAATGATGCACTCCCACTGAGGGCTGTGTGTGGAGCCGCGGGAGGACGGATGCGGGAGGAGGAGGCGGCGCTCTCCTCCTGCTCGCTGGGCGGTCCGATGCTTCCCTCTACCGGGCCCACGTGGCGGTAACCGCGGAGAGTCGTGGCTTCAAGCGCCAAGTGTATTTGTGTCGTCAGGTAAAAACTCAGGATACCAGGATGGGTCTCATTTGCAAGAGTGACTCGGGACATGAGTCTGCCAGTCGGGCGCAATGATTGCTGCTGGGTGTAGAGTCCCAATCGCGTAATTTGCGGGTAACTTTTACATTTGGCAAATGTGGACCCTAACGTTGACACGCAATGGTCTACTCTTGCGAATGACGTCAGGGGGTCTTTCACATCCACTGCGAATCATCAGCGCATAGTAGCATTGTGGTGAATGACACCCGCAGTAATAACCAGGGCAGCCGCTGCATTTGAACGTCTGCAACAAGTGGTGAATGCGCTACCGCTGGGCCACGCGTCCACCCACTCATGCGACCATCTCCGTAGGATTTTGAGCCGATGCTAGACATTCGACATTTCCGTGGCAGAATCCGGCGTTTAAATATGTTGGACAACCACTGTCGACATCCACTCGCTGTGACGGTACTAATTGTATTGCTCCCAAGAGGATTATGATCGGCGGAGTTAAACTCGCTGATGGCGGGGTAACGTGTGGGTACGCGCACCTCTCCAAACACGTCTGGTGAGCGAGTATACCAAATTCCCTCTCGATCTCCCTCTAGTGGAGGCCCTACCGTCAGCATTGGGGTGAGCGAGCACTTGCAGTGCCGCGCCTTTGCTCGCCGTCTCGCTGTCTCTGCTCGCTACGCGCGAATCTCGGCTGCCTCGTTTGGCGCCCATTGTCGAGTCCGGCGCTGGCTCAGCGGTGGAGCGAACAATCCAAAAGTCGCGAGATCTAATTTTGATTGGAGGTGGACTCAACCCACCATCCTTCCCGCCGGAGTCGATAACATTTAACTTTTTGGATAAGTGGTAGTTGTCTTGTGCTTGTGTGTACTTGTGTGTGTGTACTTGTGCGTGTGTGTACTTGTGTGTGTGTGTACTTGTGTGTGTGTGCACGTGTGTGTGTGTACTTGTGTGTGTGTACTTTTGTGTGTGTGTGCTTGTGCGTGTGTGTACTTGTGTGTGTGCTTGTGCGTATGTGTACTTGTGTGTATACTTGTGCGTGTGTACGTGTGTGTGTGTACTTGGGTGTGTGTGTACTTGTGCGTGTGTTACTTGTGCGTGTGTGCACGTGTGTGTACTGGTGTGTGCGTACTTGTGTGTGTGTGTGTGTGCGTTCGAGATGAATATTGTTGTGCAAGCTCACTTGTCGGCGTATTGGGTGACACCGAACACCTCTCGCGACGAGGGGTCCGCGCCATGGCGCCCCGGGGTTTCCAGAGGTCGCGTCTGTAACTCGAGAGACGAAATTATCATCGCATAGGTGGAGACGACATCCGAGTGTGCACCATGGGGCCCTGCTTGTTATCAGATTCAGTCTTCAATTTGCTCATGAACAGTTACCCATTCGTTCCATGAAAAAGGAGCATTGTCCGAAACGTCACCTATTATATATGTATAGTTGCTGGCCCTTGGCGTTTTAAACCCGTGCTCAGCAAATGCGACAATAAACATCTCGATATGTTTCTCACGAGGCCACGCCTCCTCGTCGTCGTTGCTGGCGAGCACGGCGCCGGTCGCCCGAGTCCGCGTGCCACGGGAGACGCCGCGGGCCAAGAATCGCACGAGCGGATTCTTCTCACGCAGAGAATATTCATGGCAGAGAGAGGACGACTCAGTGGCGCGAGGACGACCCACAGACGAGTGGGAAGGCGGCGGCAGCGAGCCGGTGGTGGAGAAGAAGTTTACAACATTCGTGTGCTCCACCGACTCTCGCTGCCCCCACACAATGGCGGGGGGGGGGCAACCCCTCCAGCAATGAAACATGATAGAGGAGTTGTTAGTAAGAAGAAAGGACTTGTCCCTTGCTTTTTATTCGACGCGTGTGCGGCGATGGCGCAGCCGTCGATCGAGGGTCGAATTCGAACCGCGTCGTGTGATCGGCATCGCCCTCCCTGAAGGTGAATGTCCTGTGTACGCAACTGCGCACAATTCTGGGTCACTTATAACTGATTTGCCGTTACCTATTGCCAATTATGGACTCAGACTATTGTACGATCATCCCATAGAGTGCCTGGCACTTAATAATATGCTACACAGTGGCAGTGGGGGTCGCAAAATGCCGATTTGTTACTAATAAAACCCAATGATCCGATTGGATCATTGGGGGGGGGGGGCACGTGCCATCCCCCCCCCCCCCCCCCCCCCCCACTGGCTCCGCCAGTGCCCCCACAGTGCTGGATCACAGGTAACCCACCACCGCCCTGCGAACCACGCCGCTGACGTGCCCGGGGGGTGTGACGGGGCTTCGATGCGGGGCTCCGGCAGGGGGCGCGAGCGCCTCCCCAGCCGCCCCCATGAGCCGGCCCCCCTCCACTCGGCCCCCCTCCACTCGGCCCCCCTCCACTCGGCCCCCCTCCACTCGGCCCCCCTCCACTCGGCCCCGCGCGGCGCCCAGTGGTGCGAGGGAGGGAGGGCGAGTCCATCCATAGGACTACCGCGTTTGACTTACCCACAAATTGGTGATCATTTTATCGAACCCAAAAAGAGGGATAATGATGAGCTGATTCAACCTCCAATCAGGATTTGAACTTGCAACCTTCCCAGAGCGGGCCGCTCGCTCGAACCAGGTTCGCGAGTGGTGCAGTGTGAGTGAGTCATGTAGTGAGTCATGTAGTGTAAGTGAGTCATGTAGTGAGTTATGTAGTGAGTAGTGTAGTGTGAGTGAGTGGTGCAGTGTAAGTGAGTCATGTAGTGAGTCATGTAGTGTAAGTGAGTCATGTAGTGAGTCATGTAGTGTAAGTGAGTCATGTAGTGAGTCGTGTAGTGAGTAGTGCAGTGTAAGTGAGTGGTGTAGTGAGTAGTGTAGTGAGTCGTGTAGTGAGTCATGTAGTGAGTGGTACAGTGTAAGTGAGTCATGTAGTGAGTCATGTAGTGTAAGTGAGTCATTTAGTGAGTCATGTAGTGAGTGGTGCAGTGTAAGTGAGTCGTGTAGTGAGTCATGTAGTGAGTCATGTAGTGAGTCATGTAGTGCAAGTGAGTCATGTAGTGAGTAGTGTAGTGAGTGGTGCAGTGTAAGTGAGTCGTGTAGTGAGTCGTGTAGTGAGTCATGTAGTGAGTCATGTAGTGCAAGTGAGTCATGTAGTGAGTAGTGTAGTGAGTGGTGCAGTGTAAGTGAGTCGTGTAGTGAGTCGTGTAGTGAGTCATGTAGTGCAAGTGAGTCATGTAGTGCAAGTGAGTCATGTAGTGAGTCATGTAGTGAGTCATGTAGTGCAAGTGAGTCATGTAGTGAGTAGTGTAGTGAGTGGTGCAGTGTAAGTGAGTCGTGTAGTGAGTCGTGTAGTGAGTCATGTAGTGAGTGGTGCAGTGTAAGTGAGTCGTGTAGTGAGTCGTGTAGTGAGTCATGTAGTGAGTCATGTAGTGCAAGTGAGTCATGTAGTGAGTAGTGTAGTGAGTGGTGCAGTGTGAGTGAGTCGTGTAGTGAGTCGTGTAGTGTAAGTGAGTCATGTAGTGAGTCATGTAGTGTAAGTGAGTCATGTAGTGAGTCGTGTAGTGAGTGGTGCAGTGTAAGTGAGTCGTGTAGTGAGTCGTGTAGTGAGTGAGTCATGTAGTGAGTAATGTAGTGTAAGTGAGTCATGTAGTGAGTCGTGTAGTGAGTAGTGCAGTGTAAGTGAGTCGTGTAGTGAGTCGTGTAGTGAGTCGTGTAGTGAGTGGTGCAGTGTGAGTGAGTCATGTAGTGAGTAGTGTAGTGTAAGTGAGTCGTGTAGTGAGTAGTGCAGTGTAAGTGAGTCGTGTAGTGAGTCGTGTAGTGAGTCGTGTAGTGAGTGGTGCAGTGTGAGTGAGTCATGTAGTGAGTAGTGTAGTGTAAGTGAGTGGTGTAGTGAGTAGTGTAGTGAGTCGTGTAGTGAGTAGTG